GTGCAATGCTCTAACTGCTCCTCTGCCAATGTGTGAAATGGTAAAGTTAAACTATTAGTACTACCTACACCAAAGCACGTCTATTGTTCACACACTTTCCCAAACCAGTTCTTTTTACCATTTATATTTCATGGACAACCTGTAAAACAATCAAATGTGCAAGTGAGCCCACATCACCTTTTCCAGTATAAAGCCTTGCAGATTCATGCTTATTTCACCAACCTATAAAAATAATATCATAGCTCATCCTTTTCAGGCTTTCTAGGGTATCTTAAAAGAGCATAGACCTTTTTAAAGTCTACGCTTAAAAAGCATATATATTTGCCAAGGAAGCTACAAGCACCCAGTTGTGGTTTTCTTCCCATTACAACAGATTTCTATGGCAAGACAGAAAATAAACTAGAATACCATGAGCACCCTAGGAGTATCACATGCACAATAAAATCATAACTATTAATCATTTTATCAGGTTACACTGCTAGACTGAAATCTCCCTTGGAGGGCAGGAAAAAGTAGGCACAGGTACTTGGTTTTGCAAATATGCCTATAAAGAGCTTTCAGCAGAGTGTTCTGATGCTAAGGTCAGCAAGTTCAGTTGCCTAATTCCATTAATATTGCTCCAGCTCCTATTCTGGAATCCCCTAACCGTTTTTGTGGTTTTACAACCATTCTTTCCAGTTTGGAGAAAAAAAAGACATATTTTCTGTCCCATGCCACTGAGTGAAAGACCCTTTTCTTAATAAGAAAATGAGTTAGGTTTTCCCTTGGCAGCAGGGTTTTAGTGTGTGGGTCACTGCCTGTAAAGGCTTAGTCCCCAGGGAGTCAGTGTGACAGAGCACTTGATCTTACCTGCCCAAGCAGAACTGCTTATATAGCGGAGCTATGGAAAACAACCAGGTGAATTAGATTCAGCGAGAGTACCAACTGTTCCTGCGGAAGATAAAGGGCAGTCCCTGGGAGAGAGGGGGAGGGGAAAAAAACCACAACAAACAAAAACCTTCCTTCAGCAGTTGCAGGAAAAAAACCACAGTAGTAACAGGGAGGTGAGCTGGGTCATAGCTTTTCTATGCCTCATTCTCTGAGCATAACTGAAGCACCATGAGAGGAAAAGCACTCTGTTTCTTGTAAATAACATAAACTTTGGGTCAGGAACTTGTTTGCAGCTACGCCCTGGCTCCTCTGGGACCCTGCCGTGCCGAGCCTGGGAATCCCAGGCTCAGCCAAAAGGAAACAGCCGGGTGCAATTACTGACTAGCAGGTGCAGAACAGCGTTCAAAACAGGCCGAAAGCTCATGTTTCAGGTGAGTTGCAAGGTGGGGGAGAGAAGTATTCAGTGTTTTTAGTCTTGCTTAAAAAAATTGGGTCACTAGTAGAATTATTAGAGTTTTTTTATGGGTGGTGGGGGTTTTTTGTTTGGTTGTTTCTTTAAAGGGAGCTGGTCATAGTCTGGTGGAGGGCATGTTTTGTGGCACTAACCTGATACACTGTCATCACTGTGAGGACACCAGATGTGCTGTTACAAACCTCATCATCTTTTTACCTCTATGTGCTGCAAGTTCTTTGTGGAATGGTCTAAGTTTTGCTACAAGTTCTATAACACCTCATGCAGCTGAGCCCTGATCAAAACACATCCCCACCACTAGCACAGAGGAAGAATCATCACATTTTTCTAGAGACATAAAAGTGCTGATTACAGTGAACTCTGTCGCTACCATGCCTGTGTGAAGCCCGTGTGTCTTCAATATATAAGAACAAGGGTGTGTCTAAATGTATCTAAATTCAGAACAATTGTTTCCAAGATTTATCATATAGAAGGAAAATAAAACATATTTTGTATTATTTCAGTTCTAGTCTGTCTCAACAGGAGAAAAATGTGATGTTTATAAAATCACCACACTTAATAAGCATGAGTACTTTTAGTGCTTGAAGGATTGTAACCTTAAGTGGCAGACCCACAAGTCAATGTTCTTCCAGGTGTTTCTCATGGAAGAGCTTGTAAATGTGCATGTGCTCACTAAGTGACCAAACTGAAACCAGGGACAGAGGTAAATGTCAAATGCCGAGGGACTGGCAGTATGCGGAGTTTAATCGCTTTGTAGGAGAAAAAAAAACCTCCTAAAAACTCCCATATCATGGTGATGGAGGAATCCATTATTATAACAGCTATATAAATACAAGAACAGGCTTTATCCGGATTTAAATATTCCTTCCAGTATAAGGCATAAAGGTACAAACTATTTATCACCTGTAGCATTTTATTTGTCTAAAATTAACCTGTGAGAGGTGTTCTGATTTTAATTCATGAAAGAACTAACAGAATTTGCTCCAACCCCTAGTTCATTGAAGTACCCTCAGCTCTCAGCGATTTGACTGGCCTCAATAAGCCAGATTTTCTGTGTATCAAAATGCTACAAGATCATAGAGTGTTTCAGAATTACACTAATAAAATTTGGGATACGGAACCCCACTTCAGATAAACCCATTCTCTGCACCATTCCAAAACTTCAGTTCATGAACATTATCACAAAAAAATAGATTAAAATATTATTTATGCTAAAGAAAACCAAAGATTTTTCCACAATTTAGATATGCTTCTCTTAGTACTGTTATTAAAACTATGGAGAAGCACGATGTTATGTCAGGCTTAACTCTGTCATGGACTATACCTGTGCCCTTGAATGCCACCACAGCAAATACAGCCAGGGACGGAAGAGGGAACCAAGTCCTGACATGCAGGACAAAGCCCGTTGGTGATGCTGTTGTATTTCTGGTGGGACGGCAGACCAGCTCTTTTATGCAGACTGTGTTTCCAAAGGAGCGTTGTTCTAATGCTCTGGTTTTGACATCGCTGAAGCGATCACATCGCTTGCAATTTGTAGCAACAGCAACATCTAGTGTCTCCAGCCTGCCCAGCAGACCTCCTGCAGCACGCTTTCCGTTAACGCCACGCTTTGGATTTCCATAGCAGCGCCCGTCTGAGCTACTCACACCGCAGAAAAGAATTGCTGAAACTTCGTAACGGCTCCGTGAAGCAGGCAAGCCCTTCGCTGTCTCTTATGGAAAAGATGGAAGAAGTAAGAAGAGAATGAGTTTAACCGCTCAAGATGGCTCAGTAGCAGGCAGGACTGGAGTTGCTCAAGGTCACGCGAAGAGAATGAGAAAGTCAGAGCTGACATTCAGATCGCCTACCCTGTGCTTTACCTGGAAGAGTGTCTCTTTGCCCCAGGAGACGTCTGGATCTAGTTTATTGGAGGGGAAGAGGTCGCTCACGGCGTTTCAGGGGTAGCTTCACTGTGTTAAGAGGGCAGCAGAAACGCCCGAGAGGAAAGCACAGCAGACATTTTCTCTGTCGAAGAACTTGTGCGTCGCTTGCTCTCCTGGTGCATCTGAAGGGAGGGGTGTGCGGCGGTGGGTGGTACAGGACCCTTACACTGCTATCATAAAGGCCTTAGTGTAGTGAGAGTAGCAGGACTTTGTTGCTTATTTAGGAATGCGTTTGAAACCTTTCCCTTCAAGCTGCCACGGAGGTGAACGAAAGGAGCCTTTAAATCAGGAGACCTGTCTTTGAGGGAGATGAGAACTCTCTGAGAAGCAGGCTTGTTAACACCTGCTTAGTTTCAGCTGGTTTTGGCAAAGAAGTAGTGTCTGAAAGTAGCCTATCCTTCATTATAATACATTATAATACTAAAAATCACACCTCATAGAAGGAGGTCCCACAGACCCCGACTCGCTGAACACACGCGGTGTGGAAACGGTGACTGAGCTCATGTAAACGACACAACCAGTCGGCAGCAGGGTACTGCCCCGCGGCCTGGAACTTATGGAGGAGGGACGGAACGAAGGGATGGATGCCTGCTTCCATACGCGGCGTGCGCCCAGCGCTGCAATGAAGAATGCCTGCTTTCTGAAAATCCCAAAGCAAGCTGTGGGGGGTCCTTGTTTTCGCCGACTTAGGGTTATCAACAGGAAGGC